TAAGAGAATCAATAGAAAAGTCACTCTCAAATAACAGTTTAACCACTTTTTTACATATGCCAATATTTTATATTTCTTCAAGGATACTTGTATCTAGTCTTACTTGTTCTTAATGTATAACATATAATTCTTTCATATGTGTGGTATATATATTTTATTATTTATTACAAAAAAGAAACGAAATTTTATCAAAAATCTTATCAATTACAAGCGCATTCTCGCCTTAGCTTTCCGTTGGTTATCTATCCATGTCTTCAGCTGCGCCGCAGAACGATTTTTCAAGTATGTGGAATTTTTAATTATGTTGTTGCACTGTTTGAGGGACGGCAGATCCTTCATGCTTTTTGCATTACCGAACGCTTTCATCATTTCAAAACGCTCCTCTCTCGTCCACCGTACCCGTTTTATAAAACCAGTAGGCGACCCTGCAAAAGATATAAAATTAAATTTAATGTGTAATAAAAGTAAGGTAACCGGGCCTACAAAAATCGTACTTAAGTATTGAATTATAAAATAACAGTGCTCAATAAATTAGAAAATATACAACCAAGAGTTGTAGGATTAAATATTACAAATTCGTTGCTTTGTAAGCGACAGCGCGTAGTAAAAATTATCAGTTAGAAAACTGAAATAATTTTAGGTAATTCTGTTCTTAAATGCCAAAAAATTGTCAAAATTTTGAAAGCTTGTACTGGACAGATCCAGAAATCTGCTGTATGATGAAAAGTTTATATTGGATAGCTAAGAAAAGACCCAAGGTGTTTTCTGGTGAAGGTCTTGTACAATGTATTATGAGTTATTGGATAGATCTCTTCTGAAGTTAATGAACAACTAACTAGCATGGAAAAAATTGTTTTCAATTAGAATTGCCTGGATAGTCGCCATGACTTAGAAATAAATCTACATCTTTCTTATTCTTCTGCCCTTTGGATATTGTATTTTATTAAAATTAAAGAAACGACTAGGTTAAAAGAGATTTCATTTAAATGAGGTCAGCCGATAAATCCTACTTTTCTGATGGAATTTAAGAAAATTGTGTCTTCTTACTCAGGCCAATTACCTAAAAGCTGTAATATCGATTCCCTAAATATGGTTAACATCGCCCAGTAATAGAGCCTAAAAATTATTATTATAATGCTCCGACTATAATGCATGAGATGCATGTTATGGGTTATAGTACGAAAAAATTAATGTTATAGATATAATTGTTTGTTACAGTCTAGCCTCTATTGTACATAAATAACGGTAATTTAAAACTTGCTGCTTCGGCACTTGCGTATGGTCGGAATAAATTCCTCATCATTATTTTTGGTATTGTCATTGTCAGGCTTACGAACATTTTCTTCTTCAGGAAGGAAATCATCATCTACCACAAAAAGAAAAAAATTAGAATAATGCATTTTGTTAGGTCCGCCTTTGCCAGTGCATCCCCTGTCGTTACGCCGGCTAGCCATCGGCTCAGGGTCAGATTCGACCGCGACAGGGGTGCGGCAGACCAACAATGAATTTATATTTTTTTTCAAACACACCTACTCATATTGTCGGCTGAGGGACGCCTGTGGAATTTGGGTGGAGTTGTGGCTACTTTGGTGTCATGTAGCCGCGTGGCCCTCCCTACCTTGAGTCGGTTTTGGCATTTTGTTGCCGGCTCCCTTCAACATGCTTGGTTTGGTTTTTTCTCCTGCTCCGGGACTTTTATCACCCCATCTCACCCCATAAATGGACTCTACTCCAGATTCATGTGCAAATTTTAAATTTTATTACAATAAAAATAAACTTTAATACTTAAGCCATTGGCTATTTGTGCCTATTTTACTTATTTGAATTTGTAACCTCTTTCTACCTATACTCGAGTATGTAGTTATGAGGGATATTATTAACAGGAAATAAACAAAAAAAAAAAACTGCGCCGCTCCAATACACATTACAAACTCCTTTACTTATATTAAATTTTATACATTTTCTTTTTTTCCTTTTTTTTTTTTTTTTTTTTTTTTCTTTCTTAAGTATACATTTGAATTTTTGTTTACAATATGGTTACTTGTTTGGTGTTGTGTTTCTGTTTAATGTTTTATATTATGTTGTGATTGTTTGGGCTATGTGTGTAACAGAAAATTGTTAATTGTTTTGTGTGTTGTATTGTTATGTGACTTGTATATGAATGGGTGTGTATTTTGAATTTTGGCTATGGCATACATGTGTATTTTTCTTTTGGTGTAGTGTATTTGAGTTTGTTGTATATAAATGGACTATGTAGGGGTGGGCTTTATATAATTATGTGTATGTGTTTAAATTGGGCTATGAAAATGACGGATGTGTGCGTGTGGGCTGTATATAAATTTTGTGTATGTGTTTAAATTGGGCTATGAAAATGACGGATGTGTGCGTGTGGGCTGTATATAAATTTTGTGTATGTGTTTAAATTGGGCTATGAAAATGACGGATGTGTGCGTGTGGGCTGTATATAAATTTTGTGTATGTGTTTAAATTGGGCTATGAAAATGACGGATGTGTGCGTGTGGGCTGTATATAAATTTTGTGTATGTGTTTAAAAAGAATATGCATATGTGTATAGATATATGTAAGTTGGTAGTCGTAGGGGTACTTAGCCCGAGTCCAAACGAGCACCGCTGGCTGTAATCAAATTAAAGCTGAGGCCCCATGAAGAATGATGCGTCGCCGGCCGGTGTTGGCGCTGTCGTCTGTCGTGGCTACAATGAAGCCCTCCTGCATCCAAGCTACGCTCGTTCACCAAACCGCCCACAGCCCAATTTTCAGGCCCCCCCGTCGCTTCGGTTGCCGATCGCCTACCATGCGTAATAATATATTATTTCCTGGCATAGCTCTTTTCCGACTGACTTACCTCAGCCTAGATGTTCCCAAAGATATACTTCCTCGTCCTCTCCTTGTCCTCCAGCTATTCCTACGTTCTAAATCTTCCACTTTGCTTCCTTTTCTTCTTTCTTTCCCTGTGTGCGTTCCAACTACCACGTGCACGTCCCTTTGTCACTTGCCAAAACTGTGCCTTTGCCCTTGTCGGAAACTACTACTTGTCATTCCCAAGGAATTGCTACTTTACCCACTTTGCAACCCTCCTAATTGGTAGCACTGGTCCTCACCCCTCACGCACGAGTACTTGTTATCGGCCCGCTCCAGCTGTCAATCGCGCGAGTTGCCACTCCTTTTGTCCGACGACATTTGTGGTTTCCCAATACTGCCGCGCCGCACATAACACCACACTCCGGTTTTATTCTGGTGTCAAACGAAAGAAACGGGAGTGAGAAGCGCCGCGGTTCTTTCTCTGCCCAACGTAGGCCACCGCCCACACCCTGAGATGGGTCTCTTGGTCTACCGATGAACAAAGCCGGGCCTAAGCTACTGCTTTAAATCTTTGGCGTGGAAGACTCCCAACCGACGCCCGTGCATGTCCTCCAACTCGTACAGGCTGTTGCCCACGCTGCTCCGGACACGGCATTTCACATACTTGTGGCACAGCTTCGCGTTCACGTTGTCCTTAAAACGACTGAGGACAAAGTTTCGCCTGTAAATCTCTTGGCCAGGTACGTACGCTACCATCCTCGCACGCTTATCGTATTGCCGTTTCGCCTTTTCATACGCCAGGTGGACACTCTGCTGTACCTCATCCCGCACTGCCTTCTGCTGATCCGATCTGGGCAACATGCGCAATTCCGCATCCTCCAGCGCCCCCAACTTGCGTGCCAGCTTGTAGTCCTTCCCGCTGGTGAACATGTGCTGCCCAAACAAAACGAAATACGGGGACGTGCCGATGCTGCCATGGATAGCACTGCGTGCTGCACACTGCACGTCCGAGAGCTTCTCGTCCCACTTCGTGTGGTCGCCCTGTACATATGTCCTGATGGCCGCTAACACCGTCTGGTTCACGCGTTCCGCCGCATTCGCCTGTGGGGCATAGTTCGCCGTGCGTATGTGGGTGATGCTCAGCCCCTGCAGGAACCCCGTAAATTGGCTGGCCAGAAATTGCTTACCGTTGTCGGTATGGACGGTTTCTGGGACTCCAAATGCCGAAAACACCTCCTCCTGCAGAAACCGGACCACTGCCGCCGCTGTTGCTTTTGGCATCGCTCGCAACCACACGAATTTGGACAGATGGTCAAGAACAACCAGAATGGTGGTATTCCCTCTCCTGGACCTCGGATACGGCCCCAGGAAATCCAGATACAGCCTCTGCATTGGTCGGAGCGATACGGTTTCGGCGCCCATTACCGGCCTCGCTAATTGCGTGCTGTGTTTTGTTGCTTTGCACGTTTCACAGCCGGCAACGTACCTCCTAACCTGTGCCACCATCCCGGGCCAGAAAAAAAACTGCCTGAGCCGTTCTATGGTCCTCTTCATGCCCCCATGCATAGCCGCGTCGCTCTCATGGGCCTGCTGTATAAGGGCTGCGGACACAGGACGCGGTACCCAGAGCTTCCAGGAAAATTCCTCTCGCTCGGGCCGCGTGAACTGCGCCCGCTTATACAACAGCCCATCCTCCACGCGTAAATCCGGAAATAGCTCCGCGTTCTCCCGCACTTGCTTCAGCCGCTCGGTATACTCCGCACCTTCGAACTCGGTTGTCTCGAAATCAAAAAAATCAACTTCCTCCAGTTCGAAAGGCCGTGAGAGGGTATCGGCTACAATATTTTCCTTGCCTTTCCGATGCTCAATATTAAAGTCGAACCTCTGCAGGGCCAACGACCACCGCGCTAATCGACCGTCCAACTCCTTCAATGACATCAGCCACCGCAGGCTGGCGTGATCAGTCACCACCTTAAACGGCATCAACTCAACGTACGGTCGGAATCTTTCGACCGCTTTTACTGCAGCCAGGCATTCCTTCTCGGTGACACTATAGTTCAGCTGAGCGCCCCGAAGCTTCGCTGAAAAAAAAGCTATCGGCCTTTCGGCCCCGTCTGCATCGAGTTGGAACAAAACCGCTCCTATGCCCGCTTGCCTCGCGTCACATTGGTTCACGAACGGCTTCCGAAAGTCTGGATGCACCAACACTGGCGCGCAGGTGAGTGCCCCTTTCAACTCCTGAAATGCCGCAACCGCTTCGCCCGATAATTGGAACTTTCCCATTCAGGCAGTCCGTTAACGGCGCGGAAATCGTGGAAAAATTCCGAATGAAACGCCTATACCAGCCAGCGGTCCCCAAGAATCGGCGGAGCTGCTTTGCGCTGGTCGGCAAGGAAATCGCCCGAATCGCCTCGACCTTCTCTGGATCCGTCCGCAACGCACCATCGCCAACCACAAACCCCAGATACTTCAAGTACTTGTAGCAGAACTTGGATTTTTTTAAGGAAATCGTCAAATTGGCTACTTTCAAAGCACTTGCCACGTCCAACAGCACCTTGCAATGATCCTCAAACGTTCTGGATATTATGAGAAGGTCGTCCAGGTAGACGAATACATGGCTTCTCAAACGCTGGGGAATCACCTTATCCATCACCCGGCAAAGGCGCTGCGCCGCATTGCACAACCCGAACGGCATGGCCTTAAATTGATACAGTGGCCTTCCTGGTACCGTAAACGCGGTGTACTGCCGGCTTTCCTGATCCAGTTCGATCTGCCAAAAAGCATGCTTTAGATCCAGGCTGCTGATGTAAATGGTATCCTCCACTCGGCTCAAGATCGACTCACTGCTCTGGAGTGGGTAAGCATCCTTCACCGTAAGCTGATTTAGCTTTCTCGCGTCTAAGCACAACCGGTTCTTTCCAGGCTTCCTCACCAAAGTCACTCGGTTGCTCCATGGACTCTCACTTGGCTCGATAACCCCTAGCCGAAGCATCTCGTCGACTTCTGCAAACAATAGCGCCTGCACTGCCGGCGACACGGGATAAAAACGCTCTTTCACTGGCAGTGCCCCCTCCGTCAACTGAATGTGGTGCTGCTCCACTGGCGTCCTACCCAGACCGTGCTCCTCGAAGGATCTGAATTGGGCCACGACTCGCTGTAACTTCTCCTGTTGCCACGCCTCTAAATCGTGTGGCTCCGTTGGTGTACTCTTTCCTAAGCGCTCCTCCTCCAACTCAGCCACGTGCTGTCCTTCGTCCACAGCCGGGATCACATTCGGAGCCAAACCGAACCTGCGCCAAAAATCCACGCCCAGATAAAGCGGTTGGCACAACGACGGGCAAACGTGGAATACCATTTCCGACTCTGTTCCGTTATACCTAACGCGCGCCATCACGCTGCCAATAATGCAATGTGGAGCGCCGCCGGCTGTCCTTACCGCGGATTTGTTTTCGCGTACCACCAAACCTAGTTTTCGGACCGACTCTATGGCACCACTTCCCAGCAAGCTCACCGACGCCCCGGTATCCAACAGACCGGTAAATTCTCTGCCTTCAATCGCTACCGTAGCATATGGGCGGCTGTCGGAACGACATGCAGAATTCACCGCGGCACACACCGCCTGGCGTTTCTGTCGGCGTTCGCGGTGTCTCCTACGCGCCCGCAAGGATGTCTTCGACGCCCCTCTCGCATCCGGTTCGTGTTGGCTACCAAATATGCGGTTCCTGGCTACTTCATAGTCGCGCTGACGCTGCTCCAAGGGTTTCCGCTGCGACCATACTTTCTTCGGTGGGACTGCCTGGTTGACTTTATATATCTGTGAGTAAATATGACTGACGGTACTATCCTTATCGCTACTAATTCCTATCCTAACTACTGTTTCATCGGAGGTACGCGTTTCACCGTCTACCGAGAGTGCGACTCCTCCGGCTGCGTCGGACTCCTCTCCGAGTTTCCCGGACGGCATTTCGGGCATTTTGGCAGCACCACGCCTGGTTGTCCGCATTTGAAGCAAAACATATTGCGCACCGCAGACTCGCAATCGAAATATGTATGCCCTGGTTGTGCACAATTCCAACACTTGAGATTCGAGCGGCTCCCACCAGTTTCATGTGGCCTATATACCGCCTCCAAATGCTCCAGTTGGCCGCCTTCTGTACCTTCTGCTACCACGTCCAGCTCGTGTACCCGATGCTGCTCTCGCTGCTGCCCGTAGTTGGTACCAGCTGAGGGCCGCGCCCAACGCGTTGCCAGCATCTTTTCGGCGTCTTGGCACTCCTCTCTCAGCTTCTGCAGATTCGTTATATTCATCGGATAGATGACCCTAGACACGGTGTCTTTAATATTCGTCTTTATCACCTTAATAAGGTCATAATCCGAAAATGGACACACCAACCGAGAACGCAACACCAGCATCGCCTGAATATACTCTTCTATGCTCTCGCCATGCCGCTGCTTCCGCTCCCTCAGCTCCTGCTCTCGTTCAAACTCCGATCTTCGAGTCTGAAATTGCTGCTGCAGCCCATATCGGAGATTCGGCCAGTCCGGCACGCCCGAGGTACGTATGTACATCCAATACCAATCTTTCGCTCTTCCGTTCACCAGGCAGTGGAAGTCTCGCAACACGTCGGCCCAGGGCACCTGATACAAGGACTGCAAATGCTACAATCGAAATATAAACTCTGCCACCGGCATTCCTTTGGTTTCGCCATCAAATACAAGGCCCCACTTTCTGATGTGGACGACGTCGGGCCGGGAGTCTCCCATCGTGGTTCGCCTTAATGGCCTGTGCACGTCAGGGCCCAAATCGCGCATCCACGGATCGGCTGAGAACTGTCGCTGCTCCACATGTGGCCGCTGTTCTGCCTGTAAAATTCGGTTGTCGACGAACAGGTGAGTCGGTGCTGCAGCTGCTGGTCTACTACTTACAAAATCTCTTTCTTTCTCTGCCGGCTCGTACCCGCCTAAGGCTGGCCGCTGCATTTGCGCGTGAGCTCGCTCTGGCCTGCCCATCGGCGCCTGTGCTACAGACGGAGGCGCGCTATGCGTTTTCTCCTGCCTCAGCGCTGCCACTGCCTTATTAATCTCGCGCATGAACGACAGCATGCTGGCCTGCATCGTCTCTCGAATGGCCTCTACTTCTGACGACAACGATGCGCGATACGTCTCGTGGGCCTGTGCTAATGCTACGTTGATCGCCGACCGAATTTCGCTTGGCAGCGCAGACTCGGCTCTGCCACCCTGCTCTTCACCGCCATAGTCATGCGCGCGTGCGCCGGCTGTTGCTCCGGAACTGTTCGGCAATTCGTCCCCAAATCCTCGGAACGCTGCCTCGCTTACACTCGGCGGCGATGCGTCATCATGGAGTGCTTCTGCTGGCTTGCCCGCCTCACTCAATCCTACGTGAGGAGGAGAGTCCAAGTGAACCAATGGCCTATTTCTACTAAACTCCTGACTCCGCCTGACCTTCCGGGTAACATTCGGGTCAAGATTCATTTCTCAGTACCTTGTTAATCCAAACCCAAAAAAAAACAGTGCTAGTACTAAGGCTTAATGCTAAAAATTCTTCTAAACCCAACAATAAACGAATAAATAAACCGACCGGTGTACGCGTATGTGTCTCTAAATGGGCAGCGGGGATAATATACTCCCACCGCTATATACACACTATATACCCCCAACACCAGCTTACCTACATAAAATAATTAAATTTACCAGTATATGCAAATACAAAAAGGAAAACCACAAATAACAAAGAAATTGGTAATAAGTGAATGCAAAAAACGTAAATATACTCCACACGCAAAAACGTCCAATAAATAAATAAATCGTGGATATACGATATTTGTACGCCTCCGGCAAAACCAAAAAAAACTTAGACTAAATAAATATATAAGTGCCACACGCAAATAAATAAGTAGAATAAATAAATAAGAATAAATAAATACACCCATAAAAAAACTGAACAAACAAAAAAAATAATCCTAAGCGAAAATATTACTCCAAAAAAAAAAAAAACAAACTAACGATAAGTTGAACTTCAAATTCCCGCCCTATGTACAGACCCGCTAACCTGTGCCAAAAAAAACCCTATCGATACTTATTAATATCGATGGTTCAGCCCAGGAACAGCTGTGCTAGGCCGGGACCATTCACAATGGACTCCCTGTCTATTGACAACTTATTTGCTGCTACGCAAATAAATAAATAAAAGGTAATTAATACACTAACTGACCATAAGACCAATAAAAACAGATTCTCACAATTACAGACTCAATAACCAGACATGTAAGGGTGAGATGGGGATCCTCAGTATGACGCTGCACCACGGCACGCTGTCACTGCAGAAGGTAAACAACCAAAACAAACATATATATATCGCACGCTTTACACCACCCAATTTCTTCCAGGCGCCGACTAAAACTCAAATCCTGCTCGGGCTATGGCGAATTGCTGCTCCTATGCTCTGCTACGTAGGGCAACGATGCTCCTTCCGCTTGGGACTGGACATGGACCTACTACGCAACCATACATAAGAAATACCAAATAACCACAAAAAAAAGGTAACTAACACAAAAAAAAAACAAGGCAACTAGACTATTCTTTACTTAACACCTAACAGACATTCCTCTCGATCTTTTCAGCCTCAGAACACCCTGTAGGGCAACAATGAGTGGGCACCAAGACCCCTCACGGACCTGCCCCTTCGCTGCACCTACTCTGCTGGTTACCCCCCTACACCGCGCTGTAAGAAGGATGCACCTGCGGCAACGATGGGCTGAGCCCTAGTGAAGCTCACCCACGGACCTGGCAGTTGCACCGTTTCCCGCCGGCTCAGGGGCCGCCAGCAGCTATTGTTGTTGAAAGCTACATTAAATAAAGAAAACAAATCAACAAAAAAAACAAACAACAAGACTCTGGCTTTTAACTTGCTTCAAACTGGGGCAACATTTGCTAAAATGTAGACCCAGGTGTATTTATATTGGGCGCCATCTTGTTAGGTCCGCCTTTGCCAGTGCATCCCCTGTCGTTACGCCGGCTAGCCATCGGCTCAGGGTCAGATTCGACCGCGACAGGGGTGCGGCAGACCAACAATGAATTTATATTTTTTTTCAAACACACCTACTCATATTGTCGGCTGAGGGAATTTGGGTGGAGTTGTGGCTACTTTGGTGTCATGTAGCCGCGTGGCCCTCCCTACCTTGAGTCGGTTTTGGCATTTTGTTGCCGGCTCCCTTCAACATGCTTGGTTTGGTTTTTTCTCCTGCTCCGGGACTTTTATCACCCCATCTCACCCCATAAATGGACTCTACTCCAGATTCATGTGCAAATTTTAAATTTTATTACAATAAAAATAAACTTTAATACTTAAGCCATTGGCTATTTGTGCCTATTTTACTTATTTGAATTTGTAACCTCTTTCTACCTATACTCGAGTATGTAGTTATGAGGGATATTATTAACAGGAATACACATTACAAACTCCTTTACTTATATTAAATTTTATACATTTTTTTTTCCTTTTTTTTTTTTTTTTGTTTTTCTTTCTTAAGTATACATTTGAATTTTTGTTTACAATATGGTTACTTGTTTGGTGTTGTGTTTCTGTTTAATGTTTTATATTATGTTGTGATTGTTTGGGCTATGTGTGTAACAGAAAATTGTTAATTGTTTTGTGTGTTGTATTGTTATGTGACTTGTATATGAATGGGTGTGTATTTTGAATTTTGGCTATGGCATACATGTGTATTTTTCTTTTGGTGTAGTGTATTTGAGTTTGTTGTATATAAATGGACTATGTAGGGGTGGGCTTTATATAATTATGTGTATGTGTTTAAATTGGGCTATGAAAATGACGGATGTGTGCGTGTGGGCTGTATATAAATTTTGTGTATGTGTTTAAATTGGGCTATGAAAATGACGGATGTGTGCGTGTGGGCTGTATATAAATTTTGTGTATGTGTTTAAATTGGGCTATGAAAATGACGGATGTGTGCGTGTGGGCTGTATATAAATTTTGTGTATGTGTTTAAATTGGGCTATGAAAATGACGGATGTGTGCGTGTGGGCTGTATATAAATTTTGTGTATGTGTTTAAAAAGAATATGCATATGTGTATAGATATATGTAAGTTGGTAGTCGTAGGGGTACTTAGCCCGAGTCCAAACGAGCACCGCTGGCTGTAATCAAATTAAAGCTGAGGCCCCATGAAGAATGATGCGTCGCCGGCCGGTGTTGGCGCTGTCGTCTGTCGTGGCTACAATGAAGCCCTCCTGCATCCAAGCTACGCTCGTTCACCAAACCGCCCACAGCCCAATTTTCAGGCCCCCCCGTCGCTTCGGTTGCCGATCGCCTACCATGCGTAATAATATATTATTTCCTGGCATAGCTCTTTTCCGACTGAC